GGTAGTCTAATTTCTACCATTTTCCTGCTCAAACCAGGCATCTCGTTGTAATCCCATGCAAAGCAGTCTTTAAATTCGTTAAGCAGTTCGATTGCTTGATCCTTTATCTTACTGTCAATCTTGGTGCTGATATATGTAATTTGCTTAATCGTGCCATTACCCAGGTCGACTTCCTCCAATGGATCTTGTGCTTGCATCTTCAAAATATTATCTCTTGGGTCTTTCTTAAACCCCAAAGGCTCTTCTTCATATATGCAATCAAGCCTCTGGCTTTCTGAAGCTGTTGTTTGGCTTAGTTCTCCAACCTTTTCCACCATAATGGCTTTAGGCGCCATATTTGAAACACTTTTAGCCTATAAGGCTGAATTTACCTATTTTCGTCCATATAAGCCAAAATTCTTGCCAGAGCATTCGAATCAGGCATCATCATGAGTTTGCTCTTCCCACCCCGTGGGTTCGAACTCCCCTTCTGTAGTTGGTTATGTATCCAATTTTTCTTGGTCCCAAATGAAACCATGAGTGAGGTGTAAGGTTATAAATTTGAGTGCATCACGATGTGACTTGAACACTGCATCTTCAGGATCACACGAAGGTATGGTAGCTAATGCTTTGTCAAAAAAACTCTTATTTACTACATTCACATCAGCAGTAAAATAATTGTAATCCGCTTCAATATTTTCCACAATCCCATCCTGACGCCATATGGATAAGCATTGATGCAGAGTTGATGGTACGCCCCAATGCCATGTATCCACTCACGTCCTAGCAACAAACTATAGTTTGCTTTGGATGCAATCACCATAAACAATGTTGGCCTCGAAGTCGAACCAACTGACAAATTTACTTGAATCACACCCAGTATGTGACTTGTTTTTCCTTCATAGTTCGACAAAACCATATTATGTGATTTTAGGTCAGTGTCAAACTTGCCAATCCTCTTCAGCAATGATTGTGGCATCAAGTTCACAACAACACCACCATCAATGAACACTTTGTTCACATGGAAACCATCAAATTTAGCCCTTATAAACAAAGGCTTTAGATGGTACATCATATCACATGTAGGTTTCTCAAACATTTCTTGTTGTTCTTCCACTACCCCATTATTCATGACATAGTAGCATAGAGGTTTCTGGCCCACTGATTCTTCCCATATGGCTTCTTCTTCGTCCCCAGATGCTTCTGACGCGAACCCATAATCTTTAGGCAAGACCGACAAAATATTATAGTGAATAATCAAGCCATCTTCTGAACTATCTTCAAAGTCTTCAGATAATTCATCGTCCATGTTGTCATCAGGACCTTCAGCTTTTGCCGACGACACACCCACAACCAACATTGATAACCTCTCTTTTGCCGATCGACACGGTATCTCCTTCTAATCTCTTTCATCTTTTGATGGAGTAACTTTTGATGTCGCTTCCTTTGCAGCTTTCTTGTTTCTGTGAAACCTTCTCCACTGATTCTACATCATAGGATTTTTCCCTTTGTATATGGGAGGAACATGATACTTCTTTGAGGTGATCCCGACTTCAGCAAATTGGGAAGAACTTGATCCTTTCTCTATCATTTCCCACTTGTGACTCGAACTTGAACCTTTCTTCACTACCTTCATATTTTGGTTTTTTCCCCCTTGGATAGAAAGGACGAACCCAATTATTGTTAGGAGCATCAGTTGGTGGCACAAAGTTGAAGAATGGAAAAACATAAGAAGGGGGGTTGAATTGGGGTTTTTAAAACTTAAAGTAAAAGACACGTTGGTTATCTTGGTTTGTTTGAACTTAAACGACTCCAGTCCATCCGCCAAGGTGATTTCTCCTCTCTCAATGAGGTCTTAATCCACTAATCAAACTTGATTACACAAATACAATGACAACCGTCAACGTCTTCTTGAGTTTAAACCACAACCCGGTTTTCTCAAGGTATTACACTACAATATTTGAAAGAGTGTACAATATGTGTTTTCTAATAAAACACTATCAAACAAGTGATGTTTTACACAAATGAATTTTTGTAAGATGAAGGTGATAAAAATATTCGTTCGTTGTGCGTAGCAAAATCATAAATGATTTCTCCTTCAAGTCTTGTATATATAGGCAACGCATGTGAGGAGCTTTTGGAATGTTGATAAATAGTAATTAAAGAACTTTCCAAACATAGAGATTCATGTCCTCTTTCAGTCGTTACTTTTGAATAGCCGTAAATGAAATGTAATGCTTCAGAACATGCTTGCTTTAAAACGCTTCAGAAGATGTATGTTACCGTTAGGACTCCTTTACTTATTTCCAGAACTATATGAATCAGAATAAAAGAGTTCATGTTTGCAGCATTTAGTACACTGAGAAGTTGTAGCTTGAGAACTTCTCTATATAAGCGTGTTATGCAGATTGATTTCTATATAAGATATGTTGAATCAAAGTTTAAACAACGATCTAACTCATATTTTGTGCTTCTTCCATCAGAACTTCTCTGCAAAATAAAATACTTATTTATGGAGTATAATTGTTCTTTGAGTATTTGTTATCATCAAAACTCTTACAAGGGTTGTAGAAATAAACTATGTTCTAACAATATCCCCCTTTTTGATGATGATAAGAACTTGGATATTTTGATAGAAACTTAAAGAACATAAAGCATTTAAAGTCTCCCCCTGAGTTGGATACTAAGATAGAGAAGAAATACTTCCCTGAAGATTGTTCTTATCAGAGTTTTGGAGAAAAAGATTTTTGATGTGTCCACTTCTGTCCTCAACAGAGTTTGTTCCTGTTTTGTTTTCAGAAGAAAAAAAACAATAGAAGTTATGATATTCAAAATGTTTGAGACTGAGTCTCGATACTGTTATATTTAAAATATCTTTTGTTCTCCCCCTTTTTTGTCAAGAATCAAAAAGCAATAAAAACACTTTAGACAATAAAAGGCATGTTGTATTAAAAAGATTCCAATAAAAACACATTCTGAAGGAAACAAATAAAAAAATGAAGAAAACAAATTTCAGAACTAAGTTTGAGGTGGTGGAAGTCGTGTGAACAGCGCTTCCAATAAACTCTTGATATGACTGTTTGATTCCTCTTGTTTTCCAAGAATCCCCTTAACTTCCTTGCATGTATCATCCTTCTTGTCTAGCCTTTCCTTAAACACATCATTCTCTTTCTTCAACTCCTCCAGAGTTTGCAGCATAAGAGATGAAGAGGGTATATCAGTAGAAGGAATCAGTTTTTCAGAGAAATTTGCGGCTGATTCTGACTCAGGAACTTTTTCAACTTCCTTGCCTTTGTCTTGAAACATAACCAGAGGAAGAGGATCAGAGGATGGTTCACCACATTCTATTGGTTGATGATCTTCCCAAGGGATATTGTCCAGCAGAAAGAGTGGCTTCTTTTCCCAGTGACAGAGAACTTGATCCTTGAAGATATTCAGATGATCACAGAAGTTCTATTGAGAAATTTCATAACTTAGCTCCTTGAGTTTCAAGGATTCAGAGTTGAACCATTTTCTGAACTGGTTCCAATGACAATCAGAAGCAGTTGGATTAAAATTCTCTACACAAGCTAGCTTCAAAGAGTTAACCCATTCCTGTATTTCTGTTTCAAAAATTAGTAGATATTTACCAACATCTGCTTTGGAAATTTTTGGTTTTGGTTTAGGAATGGCGATTTTCTGAGAACTTGTGACGAGATTTTCCAAGGCTTTTAAGTCTATAATTGTTTGAAGGGGATCTTCTGGGTGGTTATTGGGAGAGGGAGAGTTAGAAATAATAATGGGTGAATTTGGTGAGTTTGGTGGAGTGGATAGATAGGGAGATAGAATATCTGGGATGGAGAGGTTCTGTGAGGAAGTTGAGGGAATTGTGGGTGGTTGAGAGACCATGAGAGGGTAGGTGATTCCAGGAATGGATGTTGTGGTATCAGACTCAAGAGAGCACCTAAAGAGAACATGGTATGTACATGGATAAAGCAAACAAGCCAATAACATCAAGAGAGCACCTAAAGAGATCCTGCCTAGGTTAGCATGCCAAAGAAAGTCTAACAAAACTATCATATAAGGAACATGCAATGAGAGCGAAGTCGTGATCTCAATTGCTAAATTAAGTGACTCATCGATCAACAAGAAAGAAAGGAAAGCGATAAATTCCTATACAGAGCATGCACTGAGAGCGAAGTCTTGATCTCAATTGCTAAATTGAGTGACTCATCGATCAACAAGAAAGTAAATAAACACAAGCACAACACATATAGCAAATGAAGTGCGAAATGCCTGCTACAGGTCTTTAAACAGCGACTTCGAGCGCCCGCTCTTTATTTCCTACTTCTCAAGATATCTAGAAAGCGATAACGAAATGCGATAAAGTGCGGAGAAGTACAAGGGAGGTAGCGGAGGCTACCAAAGCAAGTAAGTCGTCAAGAGCTGTCGAGAGCACTGAAAAACCAGGGAGTACGCATCGAGCAAGCTTCACCAAGAAATAACCAAAGTCAAACAATATCCAGTTAAGATAAAGGCAAACGTGTGTCGCGAATACGGCGCATAATCGGAAATTCTGTTAAACCATTGATCATGCCAAGGGAATTGAATCGAGGATACGGGATCAACAAAAAACGCATTAAAACCCTAATTCTAAACATATGACAAGCATTAGCTCGATTAATTCCTAAACTAATAATAATAATAATAATAAAAAATTATGGAAAAAAAATATCACCAAGTCAGAAATCAACATGTTAATATCCACACAAAATTTCAATCAAAACTTATAAAGGGAAATATCAGAATTAATTGCTTTACAAAACAAAAATTTAAAAGAAACTAAGAATTAGCTGTGAGGTGTAATGAACTGGGAAAGGGTGTAAATGGAGTGGGATGCTGAGCCCAATTCGCTAAGCCTTTTTTGTTCATCTTTCTTCAGCCACGCCAAAAACGGATATCAGGCTTTTTTCATACAATAATGGCCCAAAACATTTCCTGTCCGGATCCATCGATAAAACTAAAGAGAATCGATTTGATATGTTGCGTTTTGTACATTAGGTCTAGAATGTGACCGTCCCAATTCTTTGAACACAGACCCTCTTTCTTCTCTCAATCTCAACGGCGCAGCTCTGATCCACCGCCGTTCTGATTCGATTTTCGATCGCCTCCCTTTGTCTTCAGGCATTCTCGTTGCAACCTCTTCTACTTCGCATAAGAACTACGCCATCAACTTCTTCGCAGATCTCCTCCGAATCTGCACTTCCATCGTCCGCTTCTGATTCCTTATCTCTATTAACAAGATTTCCCTATCTCCATCACAACATTCGCCTTCAACTATCGCAGTCTCGTTTGCGATTCAATACTCCGTGAATGATTTTTTATCCGCCTCCTCTCTTCGGCCTCGATTCATACAAACAAAGATATGATATAAATAAAGAGAGTACTGAAGATTACCTGCCGGAAAATGTTCCAACGCGCCTTCAATCGACGGTGCTGAGAAGGAACCGGAAAAATATCTTCAATGAAAATTTGGTACGAAATCTTCTCCGTGAATCCTATTACTTCTTTGATTCTCTTTCACGTTTCTTCTAATTCTGTTTTGCTGCCTTTTGGTGTTTTGCATACACGATATTTGTTGTTGTTACTGATGCGTGTGATCTGGTTGGGATGTTGCAGAGAGAACTTTGAAGCTGGCGATAAAGAGAAGATGTTGAAATTGTTGTTGCAGTTCTGCGAATCTGTTGCAGGATTGATATGCTTCCTTTTTCGATGGTGAAGATTGAGCAATGATTATGGAGTATTAGTTGATGACGATGATTTAAGATGCACCTTGATGAAGAATTGCAGGATCTTAAAGATGAAGGATTGAAAGTGATTATGATGGCGAAGAGTTTATGTGAGGAAGATAAAGGTTAGGGGTGATGGAGGTCTCGTGAGTGTGCGTTCAGCGAGGGATAATGAGTGAAGTTGTTGGAAGGTGGTGGTAGAAGATGAGTGAAGAAAAATGAAGAAAATGGTTGAGAGAAGAGAGGTTGCAGAGAGGACTTATGAAGAGGGTCAGGAATGAATTCTTGAAAAAATGGTTAACCTGTTGAATGAAGGTGAGTTTTTCTTATATAGGTTGATGAAGGTGTTTGATGTGGTTGTTGTAGAGAAGGAAGAAGTATGATTAGGTAGGGGAGAATGAGGTTAGAGCAGGAAAAGATGAAGATTCTTCTACAGAATTCCAGCGTGAATCTCCTATTGGTAAGTTTTTTGTCTTAATCTCTTCTGTAGAGTAAAAAAAATGAATTTGAATCCCTCTCCTCCCTTTCTGTCATTGCTCTTAGAATCTGTTAGCCATTTTCTTGGAAGTTTTTTACAGCTGGTTATAGGTTGGTTTTAAAGTTCTGTTAACAGTTAGGGAATTATGTTCAGGTGGTTGGATTTTCTGTTATAGATTGACAGAGAGATTGAAATTGACAGAAGTTGGTTATATCATTCTGTTGCCAGTTAGTTAGCCGGTTCAAGGTAGTTGAAACGGTTATCTTTGTTAGAGAATTCTGTTATAGGTATGAAGTTGATAAGCTGGCAGTTAAGAAAACTCTATTATTGTTAGTGCATATTCTGATTTAATGATTTTCTGGTTTCTTGTTTCTCCTTTGCCAATTTTTGCTTTAACTCCTTCTCCTTTGACCTGGATATTTCTTTCCCCTTTAATTTTGTTTCTCATTTTCTTTCATCAGTTGTTACTGAATCGGAGCTTGAATTTAATTGTGAAATTCTTTTCTTCTCCCGCCATAGTCACATCCAGAAAATGCAAGCACTATCAGGTTCAAATCTCAAATGCAATGCAATGTAATGTTTCTTTCTCATCCTCCTATTCTTGACCAATTTTCCAACCATTTCTTGTATTGGATCAGTAAATCTTAGAGCTTGGTAATTAACTCTGCATTTCAACTTCTGATACTCAGTATCCAAATTGTTTCCAAGCCTGTAGTCAAACTTGTTGAGTTGAACAACACACTTTTTCACGAGTATGGGCAGTATACGATTTATATAACATCTCTACTTACATTTCCTTGGAACACGCATGTTATATGTAGATAATGCTTTCCTACCCTTATTAATACTTGAGAGTTGCTTGATAATTTTGGCAGGTAAACCAATTAACATCAAAGATCGTTGATCCAATTTTGGAACAACCAAAGTAGCATTCAAAATTCACGCAACGGCACAGCATCTGTAATCCCAGTTCTTTGTTGATTCAAGCCTCCGCTAGTTGCAATCGACAAATACCGATTAGGCCTTGCAGTGACTTGAGCCTTTTGGAAACTTGCTGCTGGCATTGTTGTAGCCATGTAAGTGCCTCGAATTTCTTGAGAATTTCTTCTTTTTAGTAATATTTCTGTTATTTTCAATAGCGGCATGTTCTAACAACTTAATTAATTTGCTTTTGTTCTCAAGCATGGCTCTAAGCTTAACCCTTAGCTCTACTGGTTTCCTTTTTTATATCTTCTGATGTTCTAATGCAGGTCTATTCCTTCGTACAGCAGGTGCTGGTGTCCAACACATTAAAGAAATATGAAGTTACAACGAAGCATGGTCATTTGGAATGTGAATCCATTTAGAATAGGTTTAGAATAATAGGATTCTCGTATGTAATCTGTATTTGTGCAATGTGCATAATGCCCTGAATGTATCTTGGTGAATGCATCTTGAAATCTCTGTATGGACTTTATATACTTGAACAAAATTTGATTGGACAACCATCATGAATCACTTTTGAGTTTTGGACGATGAATTATGAGTAGTGTTTGATTAATAATGAACTTGAATGGTGATACTATAAACTTGAACTTTTCTTAACTAAGGCGATGTAAGGCAACGACTCTTTTCCTTTAAATGAATTGCACTTTCAAGTCCTTACTATCAATAAGATCAAGAATCAACATTTGGATTAAGAATGATTTTGGTCCAAAACCTCTCGGAAGTAATCGAACTCAATTAATGCCGAACTCCATGCCCAAACTCCTCTTTTGAATGAGGTCCTTCAAAAGAAAACTTAGCATCCTAAGTAAAATGATATCAACCTTAATGAACAAAACCTGCTTAACTCTCAACCCCTGGTGATATCAAGTATGTCGTCTGACTAAACAAACTTATAGAGAAGTAATACCTCACAAAAGAAACTCCATAGCCATCACATTAATGAGGAAGTAAACCATAATTGAAGCTATACTTGCAAACTGGTATAAGAAACATCTCAATCCATAATTCACAAGAATTCTACGTTTATCTTAAATCAATCCTTAATGTAACTCAAGCGTTCATGACAAGTCGAACTTAGTTGACTTCAAATGGCGTGCTTGGCCAATGAACCTTAATCTCAGTTGAATCCATAAATTCTAGTCATCTTGCATTTGAAAGAAACATCTTTTATTTGATAAAATGAGCTAAATAAGCTCCTGGCCCTATCTTGAATCAACCGTTAACAAAGTCATGAACTTAATAAGCCCTTGAATCAATATTAACTCTGAGTATAATTAGAAGTTTCAACGGACCCAGATCACTAGTTATTTCTCTCAATAGTCCAAGTTAACTTGCGATTGAAGTAACAAATATTTGATGAGAACCAAAAACCGTATCGTTCAAAACAAGTCCACAATGTTGAAGAAGGAGAAACCCAAGATAACCACAAGATCGAGCCCTAATCCAATGATCCCCAGTTGAAGCATAACAGAAGAAAACCCTAATTCTTAAGCATTGAAGAAAGATCACAACCCGATGTTGAGGAGAGAGAATATCCCTGTAGTTTGATGATAAAGAAGTCCAGGAAATTAAATCCTAATTCGAATAGATGATTGATGGAGAAATCAACCGAAACAACTTGTGCAAAGATAAGAACCTTAAAGCCTTTCAACAACCCTAATTCCTCGAAATCCATTATCTCAAGCCGAACTATCGACTAATGACGCATGATGCGTCAGATGACCTAATGAAGGTTATGTACCTCAATCTCAATTAAATCCACAGATTCTAGTCACTTTTCATTTGAAGCGATCAACCACCATTTAGAGAGAGAAACCCTAATGCCAAAGCTCTTCGATCTTATAACTATTGTTCTGGACTGGGCCCGACAGGCCCAAAAGCATTACTAAGGCCCAATCCAAAGGGACTTACTGAGGTCCACGCCGAGCAAAGGGTCACATCCGTGCCCGACATCTTGATGTCCAGCTCGACATCCCACTGTCCAACTCCAAGTGATGATGTCCAGCTCCACCTCTTGACGTCCAGCTCGACATCCTGACGTCCAGCTCGACACCCTGCCGTCCAGCTCGACGCCCTGCTGTCCAGCTCGACGTTGTCTCGAGCATCCCAACTAGGGCAGACTCAGTCCACCGTTCCCCCAACGATACTCCGGAAAGACCGCGTCTTCGTCCGCCCGCACTTCACGCAGCACATCCAGGAAGGGGACCACGTGCGGGTCCCCACTACCCACGTAGAACCTGGCAGTTCCTCCATTGGGCCGAATCCGCCCGGCCCAATGAAGGGACCTTGGCCCAGCGCTGGGGGCTATAAATACCCTCTGTTTCCAGAGGGTCAGGGATTGATCACTCTAACCTCAACTTACTATTATCTGCTCGTACTCCTACTTACTTCAGCATCGGAGTGCCTTGCAGGTACCCCCCCCACCTCGTTCAAAAAAAGCTTTATGCTCGGAGCCAGCCGTGACGGTCCATTTCTGATCAGGTCAGATCAGTGGCGCCGTCTGTGGGAAACAGCTTCCCCGTCTAACAATTCTAAAGACCAAAGCTCAATTCAATTACCTGTCATGGCTGATCCAGCTCGCGAAGAGCAGCACGTCCGTGTCGCCGACACTAATAACGGTCCCGCGGACAAGAATGGACACCTCGACAATCCCGGTGATCCCGGCCACAATGCCATCTCTGTGACAACCGCCCCTGGACCTACCTCCCACAGGGACGGGGTTACTGCGTCGTCCTCTACGACCCCCCGGCACTCGAAGACGACCCGGAAGCTCTCGCTTATCGCAGAGCTGCCCGGTTCTATGAAGTCCCAGTTCCTGCCGGGGCAGATGCCACGACTCAGGCACTATTCGCGGCCATCAACCAGACTAATTATCTCATATTCGCCCAAGGAGAAAGACTAAGGGCACTTGAAAATGATCGACGACCCCCGAGG